CACACACACACACACACACACACACATATATAATATAAATATAAATATATATATATATATATATATGAGAATACATATTAAATATACATATCCATAAATAGATATGTATTGATACAACTGTGATCCTACTGCAAGCATCGTATTGCCTGTGGTATTTGTATCACTATGAATGCAGTATATGTGGTATATGTGTGCGTACGTTTACAACATACCCTGATTTCGTCTATGTTTGCGCCGTACATCTCCAAGTTTATAACTTTGACGGCAACAGTTGTATTCAAAGGTATGCACATGGCTGTATAGACCGAAGCCGTAGCCCCTTTGCCTATCACATCCTTCAACTCATAGTCCTCCTTGCGGTTGGGATAAACAGTCGGGTTCTTTGGAGACGACATGTTCGTACAGTAGAAGTCTACAAATATATAACAATATATAACACTTCCTTATCTCTTGTTGTACGCAGAGTCTCAAGCGATCACAGCACGTCAGCAAACCGTGTGCGTCGTCTCCATATATATCACACTCTGATAAATGTATTAATTATATCTCATACACGTTTGTGTACACGCATGTGTCCGTGTGTGTGTGGTGAGAATTGGTTATTGTCTCTTCAAGTCTGAGTATACATCCCGAAATACCGAGAATATGCGCCATTGTACGATAATAGTAATAATACAATACACACAGTCGCAAAACCTGAATAGAAAGTATTTATTTTTAGATTCGCTTTGTATTTGTCGATGGGCAACTCCACAGAGAACCATTCATTGCGCTGTGACCAAAAACTATATAATACATACGCTATAAGGAAGAAGGGTACAAAACAATATGACAGAGAATGGGCCTTTTTACGGGCCTATAAGTTTACATGAAATATTGCCATACCTGATAGGCTGATTGGAGCCAAATTTTGATGACATGCATATTGTCATCCTTAAAGATTCCATATTGACAACCAAATACAAATCAAATTAGTACCCAACTGTACATGATGCTATTCATATCGTCCGAATAAAGTATAAACACATATCACATCATCAGGTGTCGAGGCTCTGGGCAACAACAAGTTACAAGGCAGCACGAGTCTAAAAGCACCATAACGACACGGTCTGTGAGCGGATTGTAAATGTTGCTGTAAGATTAAATAAGGAGGTGATGGGCTCAAGAGCTATCTCACGAACATTACAACCATATGTCAATACAAACAAGACCTTTGATTCAAGACACCACCGGACACTAGTGATTTAATACAACTTTGACTACTTTAGCACTCGACCATGTCGTTCTCGCAAAATGCTGTATTTCTGGCAACGGCTGGATATGACCACACAATCAGATTCTGGGAGACCCTGAATGGGTCATGCTGCAGGACCGTTCAGCACCAAGACTCCCAGGTATTGTATCTGCAGTTCGATTTGAACGATTTGTGTATTCACGTGTACACACCCATATATTGTACATACACGCACACACACACGCACACACACACACA